TCGATCACGTCGTCCATATATACTTCGAGCATGTCCTCCATTTGTGATCGGATGACTTTGTTCATCATTCGCCGATACGTGGCCCCAACGTTTTTTAGACCGAAGGGCATTACATTATAGTAATAGTGAAAGGACAAGAGTTTGGTTATATCCCGAGTATGAATCCATGAAGGACAAGAGTTTGAAACCGACATAATTATCTACTAACTTATCAATGTTAGGCAAAGGATAAGTGTCTCTCGGGCAGGCCCAATTGAGATCGGTGTAATCAATACACATTCTCCACTTTCCATTATGTTTTTTTGACTAATACAATATTGGATAACCAGGTTATATACCTGGCTTCCAAAATGAGTTTGGTCTCTAAGAGGTCTTTTACAAGTTTTTCTGTCGCTTCAGTCTTCGCGTTCGATTGCTTGCGCCTATGTTATGCTACCGCTCGAGTTGATGCTAAGCTGATGGCAAGCGATTTCTGGATCAAGGTCGGGCATGTCTACAGCGCTCCAGGAAAACACATATATGTGTTTTCCTTCAGGCACGTCTCCAGCTTCTCTTTCACCTCTTTGGGCAGTCCCGCACCTATCCTGACTCCTCGGTTGGGATTGTCCCTGAAAGTGATCACTTCAAAGTCCCCGTCCGGTACCGGACGCATGACTGTTGCGGAAGGGGAGCTTCCCGTTGGTGCTGGCGTGTGTAGTCCTCTCTGTCCTCTTCTGAGATTCGGCTGTTGAGGTCGATGGTGTGGACCTATCGTGCTGGTTTCTTCCCGGGATGGCTTTCTTTGCTAGGAAGATCTTCGTCTCTTGCTCATTTGACAGCTTGTGGTGTTGCGCCAATCGAACCTTGCCCCTTGGTAGCTGTCTCGAAGCATCGCCTAGCAGTTTCGATGTCTCCATGCAAGGTGGCGACGTGACCCCATTCGGCATAGTATTTCATCTTAAAATGAAATGTAGATGGAACGGAGATCAGCTCGGCAAGTGTAGGCCTCCTCAGGATGCACTGATACAGAGAAGAACAATCGATGACTAAGAACTGAGTCTTAATTGTCTTGGAAGCCTTTGCCTCCCCGAAGGTGACTAGGAGCTCTACGTATCCCAATGGCCTAGCAGTAGCCCCATTAAGGGGACAAGTTCTTCTAGTCGAGTTTGAGGGTGCGGAATAGGATGGTGCACATGATGTCTACCGAACTCCCCTGATCGACAAGGATTCGACGAACATCAGTGTTGTTCAATCTGGCTCTTATGAGTAGAGGAATGTGAATGTTGGGGGAGCTTCTAGGGAGCTCTTCCCGATAGAAGATGATGGACTGAGAGCGTCCATGAAATTTCTCGAGCATTGATAGTTGGTTTGGGTTGCAGTCAATCAGCTGGTCGAATTTCCTCTTCACTAATCCTACTGTGAGCTCGTTGTACCCGCCGAAAAAGATGACCATATCGATGGGAAAGGTTTACCACGAGATGTGCAAGGAGAAATATGAAGGATCCTCGAGATAACTAGGGAGGAAAAAGTCCTCTGGCCATGAAACAGACATGGGGACCAGCGGGGGAGGGCTAGAAGTTGAAGTTCTTATTTCCGTTTTCTTAGACTTGGACGTCTCTCATTGGGGGGGGCTTCTCCTTTCTTCATATACTGTCTCAAGTGACCTTCCTTGATGAGGATCTTGATGGCATCCTTCAGGTGGACGCAGTCTTCGGTCATGTGGCCATGAATGCGATGAAATCGACAATACTTGCTTCGGTCAGTGTTGCCCTTTGATGACGTTGGTTTAGGGAATCATACCCCCCGCTTGAATTCAGCTTTGATACATTTATAAAGGATACGCTCGTGGGGAGTAGTCAACAGGGTGTATTCATCAAAGCGGCTAGCAGGCCCCTTATGATCATGGGGACGATGGTTTCATCTCCTATCTCTGTCGCGCCTGGAAGTTTCTTCCTCGTCTTTCTTCGAAGCTCTAAAACTCTCTTGGTCTCTCGAATCTCTGGCTTTATACGTGACTTCCCTTTCCTTGTATTGAATGTAGGATTATGCCCGACGGAGGAGTTCGGCCAGAGAACGAGGAAGGTCGATCCCTACCACTTTACATAAGTCACTCTTTGGCCTTAGACCCTTCTCTAGAAGGTACTTCTTCATGTGGTCAGTTGTGCAGATATCGACCACTTCCTTGTTAAATCTGTCGATGTAATCGCAGAGGGGCTCATCCTTGCTGTGTATTATACCTTGGAGCGTGGCCTCAGATTTGGATGACGCCCTGAGGTAGTAAAATATCGGGAAAACTGCTTTTTCAAGTTCCTCCATGAGGTGATTGATCCCCAAGAAATACTCTTGTAACAGGCCATAGCCCCCTTCATGAAGGTGATGGGGAACAACCTGCATTTGATCGCCCTAGTTACATTGTGATAGTGAAGCATGGCCTCAATGTTCTCTATATGGTTGCCAAGATTTGTGGTACCATCATAGAGAGCAAGAAGGGGAGGCTTCTTTAGTCCGTGAGGAATGCGGGTGTCCATGATTTGCTGGGACAAAGGTATATGGGTGTCTTCTTCGTCGCTTGTGCTTGAGGATCTGCTAAGAGAATAATTGTGTCTATGGCTCCTACTGCGCCGAGGAGAGTGCCTGCTAAGAGGGGTCAGCATCTTGAAGGCCGCAGTGCAGGGGTCAGCATCTTGAGGGACAAGGATTGGCTCGTAGACGTGATCAAAACTCCGGACGCGAGGCTTCACGTTGTCGGAGGATGGAGATGCAGGCTTTCCCTCCTGGTGATCGTTCTCTCTGGCAGCAGCTCAGGGAATGGGGGTTTCGCCGCGACAAGGACTGGCGACGGCGAAATCTTTATGGATGTCATCGTTATGGTGAGATGCCATGACGATGAAGGTTTAGAGAGATATAACTTTGGTCTTTTGTATGGAAAGATTTGGGGATCTTGGTTCAAAAAGACGGGGGAGTTGGGTTCCCACAGACGACGCCACTAATCTGGAGTGATCAGAATGGATCGTCTTGACCTTCAATGTAGGGCATCAACGATGGTTGTAGGAGAGAAGGGGGTGTACCTGCAAGGTACTCTGATGCCAAAGTAAGTTTGGACTAGAACGAAAGCAAGTACAAGTGTCTAGGTATGAGTTAGAATGATTATAAATACCTGACCCTTTCAAGAGATAGGGTATTTGTGGAATTTCCCCCAGCGCAGGGCCAAGGTCTCCCATGTCGCCGAAATATCTGACCGGTCAATGGGGGACTGCCAGGTGGAAGATCTAGCGCGTGATCTTTGACCTGGTCCAACTGTCCTCGTGAATTTCGGAGGGGCAGTTGATCGCGTGAACTGTCAAGCGCGTGAGGGGATGTCCCCAACGGCTATATGCTCCAAACGGTCATATTGGGTCCAACGATCATATTGTGCCCAACGGTCAGATTACCCTAATCTCCTTATTAGGTTTGACCTTAAGATAAACTGGATTGAGTCTTACCCAACTCTGGAGCATGTGTCAGTCCAGTCCAAAACACGTATTAATTTTGTTATAATATTGTTTATATTTAAAATTATTTTTTTAGAGATCTAGTCAAATCTATTTTTAAAAAAATCAAACACATTAAAATAAATTCTACACTTTTAAAATTACTTATGATTTTTTTAAGTAGAAATTCAATATAAACTTATCAATATTTTAAAATATAAAACATCATAAAAATAATAGTTAACTAAAAAATGATCAACATTTTTTCTGTTTGAAACCATAGTTAATTTTATTTATTTGTTTGTGTTTATACCAATTACATAAAAATTATAATTATTATTGAATAATAGAATTTATCATTAATTTTTTTAAATATGTCAAAATATTAAGGGAATTGATTAAAAAATTGAATATATTTTTATAAATGTATTCTCTCTTATAAAATAATTGTCTTATTTTATAAAAAATTACGACGACTGATTTACATAAATAGTAAAATAAAAAAATTTCAACAATTGATTTATTTATACCGGTTTTATTTACAGAGACTTCTATAGTTTTTATTTTTAATTATATTATTTTTCATATTTGTTACAAATTTCAATATTTTTTATTTTTAATTATATCATTTTTGATATTGTCTATATAGATCTTCTATATGTATCAATTTAGAATAAAATATATCTCGTACATATGCACGAGTTTTGTTAGTAGCCGGACTTATAAAAACGGTTATTAGTTGTTAAATAATAACATATGTTCTTTTTTTTTTTACACATTATAGTAAGATATGTATAGTCTTTTATTGATGATACGATATGGAGTTTCAAAAGTTCCGATTTTTCGAATAGCATTTTATATGATATATTTCCGGCATCACATGAAGCTCATCTCCATGTCATTTGCCATAAATACAAATAGAGAGATCAAGCCGTAACAAATTTATGAATTACATTTTCAAACTAACACTTCTCTATCATAAGGGATAAAGTATGTTATGTAGTCACACACCAAATTCTAATTCAATACTACATTCTAATTATAATTAGGAAAAAAATCCTAATTAATTTTATTTTGGTGATGTTATGTATGCGTGTGAACCACATGAAAAAAAATTGAATCTCTATTTGGCCCCATATAGAAAAAGTGATAGAAACCTATTCCGATTCAATGCCTCCTCACAAGATTCTAAACCCACCAATGTATCCCTTATTCTGCATCTTAAACTCGTCACTACTAGTATAGCTGTGATTCTAATGAACTTGCATAACCAATACCAGCATTACTTTAAACTGAATATTAATGAATCAAAATAGGCACATAAGATTAGGTACCTTTTGTTCTCTTCAAAATTCAATATATAACTCAATACTAATATAACATTAAGGGTAAAGCAAAATAAATAAACCATTACAAATTTGATAATTAAATAAAGAGATGAATAACAATTACAGAGTTGACTATAGGTGAGTGCAAAGAGAGCATAGTATGGTGGAGATGCAATCATGAAAAATGCAAACAATAGCTCAATCTTGTGAAAGCTAATCATCATCAAGAAGAAGTTGGCAACTTGATAGCTTTGAAAGCAGGATGAAGCAATCCAAGTTCATCTTTAACATCAATAGGATTACTACTCTCATTCCTCACTCTCTTCACCCTTCTACTAGCAAGTGATTTATGAGTAAATCCATACATCTGCAATATCTGATTATCACCAAAATTATAAGCACGATCCATTTGTTTCAAACATCTTTCCACCGGGTAATCACCAAATTTCCCACATGGTTTACACCCCACAAAATGAGTAACAAGTGGCCACCTATGATCACCAAAACCAGGATGATAATTCTCAATCATCTCCTCATATCTATCCACCAAAATCCCCCAATAACCATGCAAATAATAATGATTCTCAAGGTAAACTTTGCCACCCCATTGTTCTTTCCCAGTCGCCAACAAATAAACCATAGCCGATTGATCATCGGCTTCAAAAACCGGCCGATTCTTCAATTCCCTAGTAAGAATCTTCCCCGCTTCATCTCTAACCTTCCCTTTAGGCCCCATCGGCGCCCAAGCATCAAGAATATCAAGCGACCATTGACAATTCCTCAACAAAAAACTACCAGTATTCAAACCAATCCAATTCTTTTCATCATAAATCATCTCATTCCAACCATGCATCACGAAATTATGATCCTTATATCGCTCCCACGGAACTTCGAAAGCCATATCCGTAAACATAGCATCACTATCCATCCACCAGAGAAACTCAACTTCAGGATGAGACAACAAAAGCTTCCTAATCAAAGGTAACTTCGCCCAAAAACCAGCCATTTCAGCATCAAGTAAAGCCATGTTGTAAAAAACTTCAATACCATGAAGCCTACAATAATCTATCTTATTCTTAATAGCTTTCAACAAGTAATGATCCCCAACAGGATTTTCACACGGTTTCGGCGAAGAACCAGTAACCAAAAGAACTCGAGGTTTATTAGGACCGATAAAATTCGGGTAATCAGGGTTTTTACTCAGCCACGACGACCGCTGTTCATCCCAATCCGATATTTTCGGTCCAAGCGTATAAGGAATGTTCGGATCGCGCTTCTCATCATCGCCATCTTCGTCTTTGAGGATCTTCGAAATATCAAAAGTAGCGTAGTTGTTGCTGTTGTCGGTGGTGGATTCCGAAGATTGAACTTCTTCGAGAACACGGCGAGGCTCCACGCGCCGGCCACGCGAGTAGAATTGTTGGATCTCGTTGAGGTCTTGTTCGGGAGTACCGAATTTGCCGGCGCCGATGGTTCCTCTGAGGACGACGACGGTGAGGACGAGACAGAGGAAGGTGAGGATGCCTCGTCGGAAAGCGCGTTGCATCTGACGGAGAAAGCGGGATCCGAAGAGGCGGTCCAGCATTGTTGTATGAGGCGGCACGCAGTGAATCAAAAACCTGAACTCGGTGATAAGAGGTGGTTTGGGGTGGTTTGATCGTAAATAAAAGGTGAAGTGAGGGTGTTTAGTTTGAAGGAGGGGGTGTCGGTGGAGAAGAAAGATCCACGAATTAAGGTGATGTGAGAAACAGCTAAGTATATGAAGTGAAGTGAATGGAATGAACTCAGACAGAATCGTTTTCTATTTTATCTCTGTCTGATTTCTTCTTCTACGCGTTTGTTTTATTTTATTTTCACATCTTACGTAAGGTGCTTATATTGGATAAAAAAGATTGTTTTTTTTAATAGGGGCTTAAACTGAAAGAAGAAGAAAAAAAAATGTTTTTTATGGTATAAAATCTTATTGAATTAAATAGATTGTTTTCCTAATAATTTAAAATCTTACTGAATTTAAAAGTGTTTTTTAATAAATTGAAAATCTTAATTTCTTAAAAAGTAATATTAGTCCGTCCCTTAATTTAAAGAAACTTAAATATTAGATATAATATAGAACGGCCGAATATATTTAAATAAAAATTTACACACCTTTTATATAAAATTTTAAAAAATTTAATTGATATGTATTGATGGTGTAAAAATAATTTTATATATTTAATAAAAATTTATCAATCTGACATGTCATATCAATAATTTAAAATTTACCGTATGATGTGGCGAAATACATGATGATGATTGGTTGATACTGTAAAATCATTTTACATTGTCGGTGTATACCAATTCAATTCAATTTTTAAACCATATCTCAATGTTGAAATAAGTTAGAGTTTATATTAGAAATAAGATGCGAAATGAATAATCACAATTCATGGTGATTCTATATTTATATTATATCTAAGCTATAGTATGGTTTTTGTTTTGGACTGGGTCGGGACCTGCCCTTAAGTCGGGCAGGCTCAACCCAACACTATGTTGATGAGGCCCAGCAAGGCTCAATTCTCGTCTGTCGGGCACAAGGCTCAACAAAGCATATATGTCGGACAGACGACTCCCTTGACAGGGAAGCTCACGCGCTTCTCCCACGTTCTCCACGTGCTCCCCCACACGGAGATACGTCATCAGACAACTACCCACCTCCGAAAGAGTTGGTCAGCCCACCTTACGAAGATCACGGGGCAGTTGATCCAGGGCGAAGACCACGTGTTGGTTTTCACTACGCCACGTAAGTCATGGCAATTACGTGGGTTGGGCCTGATAGTCTGGCCCAATACAATTTAGCGGTTGGCCCTACGCTAGGGGCACACTATAAATATCCTCTTTCAATAGAGGGTCAGATAACTTCTTCTTTGCACCTAATCTATGTGCTTGCTTTCTCTATGATCTTTTAGGTACACCCCATCTTTCTCTACAACTCCGGTGAAAACACCAATCCAACGACGGGTGACAGACCATTGATTCTTTTCTATTGGGTGAGATAGGTGGTGTCGTCTGTGGGAAACTTTTTGCTTCCCCGTCCCTTCTCCTATCCTTGCAGCCCAGGGACCAAAGCAACTTCCAACATTTTCATCTCAATCATGGCAGTCCACGTAACGACAATGCGCCGGGATCTGCCTTTACCCCCTTCTCCAACGGGGACGACCGCGACCCCAACGCTACCGCCCACAATGAAGAAGATCACCAGAGGGACGAGCGCACCTCCTTCCCGTCCTCTGAGGACGCGACCTTCAACGTCGTTTAACACTTTGACAACCCGGCTGTCTACCAGCCCATTCGGTTCCAGCGGGCACCGACCTTACCATCACGGCTCTGTTCGTGGCGATCAATCAAACCAACTTGATTATCTTCGGAAAAAATGAACGGATATGGATGCTCGAGAGGGAACAACCGTAGCGCTCTCCCCGCGGAGACACCGTCGCCCGACTTCTTCTAGTCCTTATACTCCCTCACATAGACACCATCAACGACCCTCTGTCAGCCTCTCTCCCCCGCGGAGACACCTTCGTCAAGCTTCCATCAGTCTCTCTCCTCCCCCACGGAAGACACAGTATATAGAAGATTCCAGGAGCCCATCTCCCTAACCGGAAGGGCGCCAACTCTGACTGAAGCAACCTCAGCCGATGGTTTCTTACAAGAGGGACATGTCACCTCCCCGAGAGGAGTGACACTCCCCAGATCAGAAGAAGACCAAAGCTGATGCAGCCTTCTCCAGACCAAGGGCCCGACCGAAGAGTCAACACCGGTGCAGAAACCACCTAGAATCAGCCTCCCCTTCGCTGTCACCTGTCCGGAGCGACGAAGATACCTGGTGTCGCAACTGCGAAAACACCCGACGAAAAACAGAAGAGTCGCCACCTTTTGTTATTTATCCCAAAGAGAGGGAAAGGAAACAATCGGAAAAACCTAACGAAAAAGGGAGAAGACGAGGTCATCACAACCAAGTCCTGGATTCGGGAGTCAGTTACGCAAAGGGAAGGTATTAACACCCCTCACGCCCGTCGTACTCGACGGGATCCATGCTCGTTGTCTATCTAAAGGTGTGTTTAAACTATATACACTAAAGGTCTCAGGATAAAAAGAAAAGAAAAGAGACTCAACAGAGCATCGCCGTTCTGCGCCTACGTATTCCCTCGTGCAATGGAAAAGTCAGAGTCAACGTAGTTCGGCTAACTACGGGCGAAAGGCGGGGAAAGGTTGCTCGCTGGGAAATCGTCGTCTCGTGCCTACGTAGCTTAAGGCTCGTAACGCACAACATTCTTTAATCTTTATTAAGTGTTTTGACATGATTTGAATATGAGAATGAGAGAGGGGACAAACTAAAGGGAGACTAAGTCAAACCAAGTAGTTGTCATGCAAAATGGTCCTAAGGTTAAGATTGAAAGGGGACACATTTACCCTAATGTTAGCATGTATGACTTCCAACCTAAAGTATATCACAACCTCAAAGGAGATTAGAGATCATATGGGGAGCATGGCAAATAAAGACAAAGGAAGAAGGAAGATCAAACTCCAACAAGAGTGAAAATAGGGATGCAGACATGGAATGCAACACACAAGCAAAGGGAGGAACAAAAGTGTGGGGTAAAAACCACCACAAGCACATCTCGACCTTTATTAATGCAAGAAAATAAAGATGCAAAACACAAGAGGAAATGCAAATGCAAGAACATCATCACTATGAACAACAACACACAAGTGTGCATCCAAGTGGAAAACAAACATGAGTCGACGAAGTCTCGATTAAACAACCAAAACAGCAACAAAATGCCAAAACATTTCACTTCTAATGCATCATATTGAACTACGATGATTCGATACGAAACGGTACCCAAACAAGCAAGAAAATCAGCAAAACAGACCCACTGGCACAGTGTTAATTGGTTAACGCCAGAGGTTAACCGATTAACCATTGAAAAATGCTTGAAAATCTGGAAATTTGTTCATGTTAAGCGGTTAACCATATGCGTTAACCGATTAACACTTTGAAAACTTTGAAAAAATTTGAATATTTGAAATGGTTAATCGGTTAACCATATGTGTTAACCGATTAGCACTGTGCCAACAGCAGAAAAACAGTAACAGAACAACATTTTCAGCAAATAAGCACTTATCCGATCAACCGGATGATCATAATGACTTAATCACGAAATTAAATCAGCAAATCATGACTCAAGCAGCATGTAAACAAATTAACACAACCAAATCATGGATCAAACGGATCAAATTAACCAAAAGTTGATCAAATATGAAAATCCACATGATTATGCAAATAAGCTAAAAACAGATTCGGATCCAACCTTCGGAGCGGAGATTTGCTCCGGTTAATGTTGGTTCAACTGTAATTGAGTAGATCCAATGCTAGAAGTCTGGAATACTTCAAGATTCACACCAATTCATGTAGTAGCAATGAAGATCCTTCAAGATTAAACCAAATCAAGCCAAATAATCACTTCCAAAATCACTTCCAAGTTCAGATCCAAGTTTACACGAAAATTGGATGAAGAAATCGATTCAATGAAGATGATGGATGGAGGTTTGAGCTTAAGAATTCATTGATTCCAAGGAAGAATCAAAGAATTCAATGGAAAAGAGCTTTGGTGAGGGTTTTGGAGATTGGAAAATTGAGAGAGAATTGAGAGAGAGTGAGATCAATTCTGAAATTGAAATGAAATTATGAGTGATTAGATGTGTAAGGTTTGGAGTGGATCACTTAAATATCACTTAGGCTTGGATCCAAATGAAAGGTTTGGAATGTGGAATGGAAAATTTGGTTTGGAATGAGGAATGGCCATTTGGAGGGAAAATGAAATTAACCAAATTTCAAATAGGTTCTAGATCCTTCCCAAAGTGAAAATCAAGTTTGCATATGACCAAAATTGGACCTCAAAGTGGTTTGGATTGAAAATTCACTTGCAGAGGCAAAATCTGCACTGGTTAATCGATTAACCATATAGGTTAATCGGTTAACACCTTTAAAAATCTCAATTTTCCCTAATTTTACCTTGGTTAATCAATTAACCATATGGGTTAACCGATTAACACCTCTAAAATTTGAATTTTGGCGCCTTTTGGAGGGAAATCTGCCTGTTTGTCTGTTTCCTGCCGTCTTGAGCTCTGTTCAACTTCTGAAACTTGCTTTTGAATATCACAACCCTGAAAATGCTCGCAATAGTCTGTATACTGCTTTCTGAGCTGAAAATATCCTGCAAAATAAAAATAAAATCGATCGCCCGACCGCTGGGCAAAATAAATGCCAGAGCCTCTGATGCTTACTGTTCAGGTTCATGCACTGAGATGAAAACTGAGCCACGGGAAAACCTTGATCCCCTGTCTCAAGAACGAATGCTATGCAAATGCAGAAATGCGAAAATGAAAAGAAGCAAAAGTCAGACGCCGCTAAAACGGAAAGGCAAATTTTGGGGTGCTACAACTGCTCCTATTCAAACAACTTGGACCTGAAGGGAGGAAAAACATCCGCTTTCAAACATTCATGGTACAAGGTGATTGAATACAAAAGAACCCGGAAATTTT